AAAAAAAACCCTGAGCTTTCAAACTGTGTGAGGTCTCTAGCACTTAAAGCTCAATGTGCATTCTTAACAGAAGCCTGCGATTTGTGTTTTTTTTTTTTTTTTTCTCCTCAGAAAAGTTTTAAATCAGACCCTTAGCACTAAAGTAAGAAATCTTCAAGTGTGCAGATTAAGCACTACTAGCACATCTCGGCATTTTCTGACCTTTTGCGAGCTTCATCCTCAACTGCTTTTACAGCAATCAGCTATTGCAAGCTAAGTGTGTAATGCCTTCCAGGCATTCTGCAGCTAAACCACCTTCTTCTACATTATATATCGTGCTTTTGTTTCATTACCTTTAAAAAAAGGGAAAAAGAAAACTAATGGAATTTATAAAGGGGAATATGCCAGCTAAACATACAAAATCAGGAACTGCACTATCAGGATGTATCTCAATGAGGTTTCTAAAAAGGAGACACCAAGGACAACCCTTGCTTGCAATTCAAAGTCACAGTATTGAGGATTTAAATGTGTTTTATTGTAAACCTTATTATAGGTTCAGTACAGCTGTTACATGAAAACACTTAGCTTTTATCATTAACAGGCATGATTACTGTATGTATGCATAAATACATACAAGGACATAAAAATTTACTCATAAAACTCTTCAGTCTTAAGGCAATGCTGCTTTGTATCAATTAACAAGTTGCTTATCTAGGAGCAGAAGAACAAACTTTGCTAATTTGAAAGTAGAATGTCCGAACTAGTTACGAACCTATTATGTTCTCTCATATGAACAAAAATGACAGATTCATTTACTATGATTTAGCTAAATGTTTGTGCTTCTTGAGGTATGAAAGTAACCAGATCTTTAAGGTTATCACTGTTTAATCATTAAGATGTTTTAAATATTTTATACACACACACAAAAATGCTTGCCAGGTAACATTTGTGTTGTGTTGTTGTTGTTTTTTGGTGCAATGACAGTAAAAACAAACAAACAAACAAACACACAAATGTCCTGACCTGACTTCCCCAGAAAAGGAGGAGCAATCAGCTGCAGAATCTGTTAAGCACTGAAAACTATACAACACCTGATACTTACACATTAAAACAAAACTCATGCTGCTTTATTTAAAAGGAGGAAAAGTAGACAGAACTAAAATTTACCTTTGACCCAGGAAATACTTTTAAATATAAATTAAAACTTCTGACATAGTGAAATGAAGTAGCATGGAAGAAATTAAGGATTTATACAATACCCTTAAAATAGTGCAACTAATTAAGATTGGTCTGAATCACTTCTGTTTCTCTCATGAATTCCTCAAGGACAGCCACTACATTTTTGGCTTCTGGCATTTCTGCATGTTCTACTTTAACAATCTTCAAAAGGATGTCTCCACTGCCGCAGTTCTTCAGGAACATGTAACATTTGAACAAGGCGTAGTGGTTCATTTCAGCCTGGCGGATAAACCTCTTCAGGTTGTTAATGTCTTGTATAGCCTGTGAAGAGAGTAACAGTATCTTCTTATCCTTCTATAGAGAAAGGAAATATGCCACTATGTGGAAAAGTGAGGGAAGAAGAGCAGGAGCAAAACATTTGTAATAGGAATTTTGTATTGCTATTCTGAGTAATGCAAGAATTGAGTGAGTACTGTCCTTGAAGGGTATTCCACTGGGATATGACGGTATCAAGGGTTCACCTCAACTTTAGGGCAGATCAGCTAGCAAATATTAATGACTGAATTTGTGCTGAAGCCATACATATGGGTTCTGCCAACAAGTTAAACATCAGAGTTAGATAACAACATATCAACATACAGGGTTTTTTTTTTTTTCCCTTGCTGTCCCTTGGTAACCTTGATGTCTCCCATAGGCCTTAACATAGAGGCAAAGTTACCTTCAATTTAAAGTTTTCCAAAATTTGCCGGAAGAGAAATGGATTTCCACCTTCAGCAGCATTTATAAAAGCCTGCATCCAGTCCTCACAGAATCTGTTGCTCCCTGTCACGTGTTCAGGAACACAAAAAAAAGGGAAGCAAGAATAAACTCAACAAAAGGATGTTCCTACGTTCACTTGGTTTAACTGCTCTCATACAGTAAATGACCACAGCATATCTGAGCCAGGAAATAAAAGTCTAATAAAATCAGCATTCATGGGGAGAACAAACACAGCTACACTGATTACACAAAATTCTCAGTCTTGAGTTGCTTCCCCTAACATGCGTCAAAAATCCAGTGGACAAAAGTGTAAAATCACAGCTCTATGGTCCATGAATTAAATGCATTCTGGATTTTATTAGCAACTATTTTCAAACCACAGCTCCAGTGCATATGGTAAACAGTTACTCTGCAACCCAAGAGAAAAGCATGTTCTAGTTTTCAGACAGAATCCAAACTTTCTAGGTATGAACCTGTGAACCGTTGCCTATCTCCAACCACCTCTCAAGAACAGCGCTCTCAGCACCTGAGGGAGCGGCAGAAGGGGAGGAACAAGAAGTGTTTACAGCCACAACCTCACCTGCATTATGGAACTGAGGCTGGGCTCCACTGCAGTCTATAATTACTGACTTGTCCTGCTCCTCGGTCATGGCTATACACAAGGAGGTCATTGTACCTTCCTGAACAAGTCCTTGGAGGCTGGCAGCTGCCAGAAACCTGACCAAAAAAAATTGTGTGAATTGCCTGTTGCTACACAACACCTGAATATCAAAACCACCTGCAGAACCAAGGTAGTCACAGGCCCCTTGGTTTCACAGCATCTTTACCTGCTAATGTCTTTCTCTGTTCTTTCATCTGAGTTTTTTACTTCCACAGGGGTGTAACCCAAAGCCTTTAAGAAAAAAAAAAAAAAAAAAGACGCTGATCTGATAATATTTCTGCTCCTTTACTGTAGTTACTAGTAATAAATACATAGCATGTATTTAGAATAAAGAATCCTCTGTAGTATTACGGTCACTGCAACTATTTTTGCATTCAGAAGAAATACAATAGTTACACTTTATTAATTATTCCATTAAAAAATGTCTTTGCAAAATCAGGGACTGGTGTTAGGATTAGATTTTATTTTCCAGTGAATTGCATGAGACACAGGCAATAAAACATTCCTTTTGGCTCAGAAGGATTATTGCACGTACAGCTTTCTCATTATATTTTTAATTTTCTCATTCTAATTAAAAACTAGTCACTACTAAGCAATTTAAAATAAATTAACCATAAAAAAATACTTTTCAAACATGAATTTAATCACGCTTGATGGATAAAATTTGTAGGTATTGTCTTAGCAATAAAGGATGGAGAAACTATTTGATTTAAATCAAAAAAAGGGAACTTTTCCTCATTTTCCCTAGTTGGGAAAAAAAAATAAACACAGTGGTAGAATACTGAGGCATATTGAGGAGCCTTCCAAACCCTTTTGATTTTCAGTTGGACATACACTTACAGCATGTAACAAGAAGGCAAGTTTCTCCTGGAAGAGCTGTACTACTCTCTGAATAGGGCATATGGAATTCTCAAACCAGCTTCGCAAGTAGGGGTTAACGTAGGTCTCCAAGGTTTTTTGCTGTAATGAGTTGAAACATTAAAATTTTTACTGCAAATTAGATTTCTACATAAAAAGAAGCACATTAACAATCTATTCAGCCTGTGACATTTGGATGTCAAACCCTTTATTTCAAGCCATGATAGACTAAAATCATGACTTTGACATTTAAACCCACACTGATGTGGAATATTAGATAGGAAAGACTTGATGTTTCCAGAATTAGACAGAATTATAACTTATTATGACATATATTGAACAAAGATCATGCATCAGCAGGCAGGGGATGAGGTAGGGACAGAAAATGCATACTTCATTAGAAAAACTGCTATGAGAAGAACAACAAAAATCTCTCCACAACATGCAGAAGCAATAAAAACCTAGGTGGATGCTGCTAACCTACCATTAGACCGTTAAATTTTATTAGTCATTCTTCTCTCTGAATATAAATACAAGTAACCTTTAAGAGATTTATAGTTGGCGAAAAAAAAGAAAGTTCTGCTTTTTTTTGCCCTTTGACTTGTGTGAGGAACAGCACTTTAGGCATTCACTGCCTACTGCAAAGCAAGTAACCACAGCTCTCAGCGACACTGGTATGTTATACAGTAACTTGTTTCTGTATCATAAATCTTCCAGATTGCTTTACTAATAAATTTGTGTAAAAAGTGGTCATTTTCACCACTTTAAAAAAATAATAAAAATCAAGCCTTACCTCTGGATTACAGTTTATCTTCAGACTTTGAACGTATTTGTCCAGCTCAAGTCTGAAAGTATTTTTTTTTAAGGAAAATAAGATGATTTAGGTAAGACCTGCATTTTGCCCTTTTAATGTATAGTTGTTATTAATGCATTCAGTGATATACTGGAAGGTTTCCCCAAACAGGCTAGTGCACTGATTTTAAGCAGGAAGCAGGCAAAATGAGAGCATTACTTTTACATCTTTTACATCACAGATAGGAAAGTTAAAGGTAAGGATATAGTTCTAAACCTTTCTCTGAACCGCCTAAGAAACAAATCACATATTCTGGAGCTGTGATGTCCGATTCCAGTGCTGCCATTTCTAGGAGATTTTCTTGGCGGAAAAGACAGTAGTAACAGCCAACTTTATATTCTGGTATGCTATACAGAAAACAAACAAAAATAATTTTGCTATAAATGCATCACAATAAAGAATTGCAAAAAGTAGATGTACGTGATTTCCATAAAGAATTATCACTCCCTAGCACAGATTGGCCCTATACAGGGCTGTCCTGGACATTCTCTTTTTTCCTCAGCAGAGTAACCAGAGAAGTTTAAGTTGCAATAGTAATACATACATGCAATATTTTTAAGTACTCAAACATTCAGTTATTTATCACAATATTTTTTCCCAAAACCACCTAAAGAAAGAAAAACATAAAAATGCCATTGGCACAGAGATGTTTTTAACAACAGCAATAGACTAAAAGCACAGAATCGGGATTAAACCTCACTGCAGCAGGAGATGGCAAGATGTACAATGTTGCCAACACTTCTCGTACTTCCTACACCGCTTTGTGAAGGAGAAGCTATGCTTTACCTCAGCTCCACAGTTGCGACATTCCCCATCCCTTCAAAAAGGGCTCCTTTAGTAAGGCGCTTAGCAATAAAACCACGCAGTTCAGTCTCCGCTTCAGGTGGTAAGTTAGTGTCCAGCAAGGACAGGCTTTAAAAATAATAATAATAATAATAAAGAGTTAGCAGAAAGCAAATGTTAAGGCCTGAGACAAAACAGAAACGTTAAGTGTTTCCGGTAGTGAAATACAGAGTACAAACTTAAATATGATTATTTATGTTTAACACATCAACATGTAATACGTAAATATTATCCGAGCTCTCAGAAGTTCCCACTGGCCTTGAGGACGCCGTCGCAGGGGGTTCTGCTTTGGCGTGACTTTGGTCACTGCTCACTTATCGCACCGCGATCGCCACAGGCTCCCTGTTAGCACCGGAACGGGACACGGGAGGAGGTTACGCGCGCGGGTTGTGCCCACCTGAAGTCCTCGCCGGAGGGTGTCTCTGCAGCCCGGCTTCCATCGCCGCTGTCAGCTCCCTGCTGTGGGGACCTGCAAATTCAGCCAGGGTCAGGCCCGATTCCGCACACGGGGCCAGGGGCAGGGCAGAGCCCGGCCTAAGGGCGTTTTGAGACAGGATCGTGAAATGGAGGGCAGTTGGGGGGGAGTCTCCTGCCCACCTGAAGTCCTCGCCGGAGGGTGTCTCTGCAGCCCGGCTTCCATCGCCGCTGTCAGCTCCCTGCTGTGGGGACCTGCAAATTCAGCCAGGGTCAGGCCCGATTCCGCACACGGGGCCAGGGGCAGGGCAGAGCCCGGCCTAAGGGCGTTTTGAGACAGGATCGTGAAATGGAGGGCAGTTGGGGGGGAGTCTCCTTGGGGAAAACATAAACGTGATAAGAGGCA